ATTTTGCCCCAGCAGCTGGCCGGCATTACTGACGTGGCTATTTCTTCACGCGCAAATTCTGCCGCAACATCTCGGCACCGCAAGCGCAGTATACAGCGGAAAGTCTGCTACAGTGTAGACAAATTTTCAGTGAATTCTGAAGATGATTTCAAAAATACTTACAGCTGCTCCATCGCCTCCACCAAAATTCAATATGTTACTAGCAATTTTTGATATTTGATCAAGTGGGGCGCCTCCACCAAGTATGGAATCCAGCGGATTAGCGGGAGACTTCCCAAGCTGAAAGGAGAAAATTTAACTTTGAAATGCGATTGAAATTTTATCTTTACCTGAGCTGGCGATGCAGCAGCATTAGAAAATTGCGAGGCCGCCTTACTTTGCGAAAAAATCGAATTCGCAAAATTATCCACCGCTTCTGTATTTAGCGGAGAAGAAGCGAACTGAGTCTGCGTAAGTGCGCTAAGAGGATTCGATGACTCCAGTGTGGCCACTGCAAATTGCTGAGGTCTCTTTTGAGTCGCGTAATGCGGGGTTCCATCATCCCATGTTCCAGCATGTACTGGAACCCCGTTAGGAATGGCTATGGAGCGAAGTTGGGAATTCTGAGTATTCTGAGTTCTTGAAGGAGCGCCGTTGGCTCCTTGCTGCACGTGGTATGTTCGACTTGTCGCGATAAACTGCTCTGGCTTCGCTACTGGTTTCTTCTTGGCAACAAGGTAACTTCGTGATGTCGTTGGTGGCGATTCTGTAGAGATACGATTTCTTACTTGGGCTCGGAATATAGGCCTTGGACGAGATCTGAAAAAAGACCCTGTATGCTAAAATGCCAGGCTATTATGATCCTCACTTCAAGTCCACCACATCCGTGCTTTCAGGTTGCGATTCCTTTTCCCTTTGTGGCCACCTGCTTCGAAGACGACTATTGTACATCGGCCGTTGTGGCGGCCATTTTTCCTCCATCTGCAGGAAACCAATAAAGGCCAATTACCTTAGAGGCACCGTTCACCCAAGTCGAGGGTGACGAGATTTTGATATTGTATGTCAGCGGTGTCCCTATTGAAGCAGTTGCCCAATTTTCGTTGCAAAAAGTAAATTCTGAAGTGAGAAAACCACTCCAAGATGTAAAAGCGGCAACGCTGGCTCCGCCCATCCGCGTGGGTGGTTCGAAGTTTGAAGTTCGAAATAGGGCTTAATTTTGGACGTAAATGTCACAAGTTCGATGGTCATGATGAAGGGAGGATTATGACAATTCTGGATACATCTCAAAACCCGAATTCGAAATTGATATCATTAGACCACCCACATTGATAGGCGGAGTCGGTGCGGCCGCTTCTACATTCTGGAGCTATTTTCTCGCTTTAGAAGTCTTCTTTTGCAGCGAGACTTGGGCTATTGCTTAGCTAGGGACCCTGCTATTATACAGCATCAAAATCTCATCGCCCTCAATCTGGGTAGACGGGGGCTCTAAACTCGCCAGCTGTACCTCATAGTAAGCTTCTGTAAGTTCATTCGCCTGCCTCAATCGTTGCTGGTATTGCGACCATGGTATAATTGCAGCTGGACGCAGCACATCATCGCATGATGCACAAACTAGTAGGATAGCTGAAAACGTAGAGATTACTGGGCTAGCGTTGCACTAGGCTTTGAAAGCAAGTTTAGAAGAAGTCATCCACATTGGGTGGAACCATTCTAGAGTGCGGCCATGAGAATTTACTATGGTAATCAGTGGATAGTATGGACGCAATAGATGACCGGAAATAGAGCGAAGCGTGTGATCCGCGCTCAAGGCCTGAGCTGCGTGATATTTATTGTTGCACATAAACCGCTAGCAAATTGGTCAGGTCCGAAAGTTGGAAGTGGATGATTCAACACTACAAAAATGAATATTTGGACATGCAGTGGATATTCTACTGTTCAAAGTATTCTTGTAAATAATCAACCGTGAAAAAAACGAGAAACACAGAAATACGATAAAAATGCATTGGTTTGCTAAAAAGCATGTTCGGGCTATCTTTAGACACGGATCGTACTGCGCGGAGGGGCTTACTCATAGTCAAGAAGTGCGCTACCGTAACCCGCGCATCTCTCAAAAGTCAGCGCAGAAGATAAGCAAAAGGTTGCAAGGTTTCGCAAACTGCTAGGTATAAACTTATAATTTACAAAAAAACTGAAATTATTCACTTACAGATGACGTGCACTGGCAGGGATCGCATCTATGTTGACTGATCAATCGGGGTCACAGCCCGGTCCTCGCTCCAACCTCCTCGTTTTCGCTCTCACGCCGCCGCCCGTGCGCCAAAACTGACCAAGCTGCCTGGTAACCGGAACATTCACAGCAGCTGAACAGGCGTAACCACTTCTTTTTCTATGGCATGCACTTTTTTGGCGTAAAACCCTTGCGAGCGCGAGATTCGGGACCCGTTTAAATCCAGAAATTGCATTGCTACTTCGTCAAAAGGTACACCTTCTGCTAACAACAGAGACATATTTTTTCTGGGAGACGGTTAAGAGGCGCATTTTTCCCAGTCACAATTTAGCAGCCTAAATTAGAGCTATGCGAGCTTTTCAAGAATACCGGACAAAGGCTCTAGTTTACTTACTATCTGAAGTAACCTTGCTAGGTTAGACGGCTTTTGGTAAAGCCTTGACTGAGATATTCACGAAGACGCCATTAGTTGCATTTTCAAGGATTATCGGCCTCCAAAGCTTATGTTTAGAAACTAAATATTTCAGGATAATAAGATCGAGCAACCCATGGGATGGTCCATTTGGCAATCAAAATAGCGCCTTTCGGCATACACCCCGTTTTTCTTTTTACTTCTCGAATGCCTTCGGAACATGTGAGTTTTACGTTTATGAATAAATGCAGGAGCGTTAGCTACAATGTGAAACGAAAATAAGCCACAGCCGAGTAAAAGTGTCCAGATTTGATCCTACACCTCGGAATGAAAATACTGCACATTTTGTTACAGTTTTAATGATAAATAGACATGCCAGGTCTATATTAGCCTAACGCTATTCTATGAACTTCAAATTAGGCTTTTTTCATCATCTCTAGTATCAATCTGTTATATCAGGTAATCGGAAAGTAATGGTAAATCCTTGAAGGGGGAAAAAGGAAGAGAATTGACTACATTTTACTAGATCCCTACACATGATCTCAATTTTCAAGTCACTTTTTTACGCTCAACCGGTTTCGGGGATTAGAACTAGACCGGTATCGTAGCTTTCTTGGCGCCCCTCTTCAGTAGTTCCCAAGAAA